ATTAAAAATAATGCTGGTTATCCTAGGATACAGTGCAGTAAGCTTGTTTCTTAACCATAAGCAACAATAAAGACTTACGTGCTGTCCTTTACAGTTCTGCTAGTAGCAATAAAATAAAACTAATTTATTTACATACAAAGGTATTGATTTTATTTAAAAATACAAGCCAGGCTTTTAATGTTACATGGCATCTTCTTTAAAAAGGTCTACCTAAAAACAAACAGTATTACTTTGACAACTAAAGCTTTACAAGAAATTTGTTTCTTCACAAAATCAAGGATTCTTGCCTAATTGTTGTCCACTCAGAACTTCAGTACAGGATCAAACCCTTCTGAAAATCCTCTTCCCCCCAGAGCAATACCTCTGAAATCTCAAGTTCCAATCATACCATCGGAAGGTATTCTTATAAAGGGAAGTTTTCAGGACTGGAGAAGGTGAGAAAAATAACTAGTTTTTCTGACAGTGGATTCAGACACATTAAAATCTATAAACAAACTGAGTCTTCCCTACAAGGGCAATATTTTGCAGTTTGTGTGTGTGGACTTTGGGTTCATCAATTTACCACTGCACCTGAAATATACTACTAATATTTTTTAAAGTAAAGTTGCACAATCCTTATGCCCACAAATTTCCCATAGGAACTGTGTTTACATAAGGACTGTAGGATTTTGTGCACAACTCCTTGTAAACATGATTACCATTAACCCTTAGAACTGAACCAACAGTGTTTGTTACCTTTAGTTACACGTGGTAAATATAATTTTGAATTCAGACTATATGTTAAGGCTTAAGGTCCTTAGCAGCGATATTTTGCTGTCTAAAGCATGAAGTAAAAATAACTACTCAGGCCACCTGTTGTTAAGGAAAGACAATAATAACATTTTTCTTTCCTGGTTAAAGAAAATGGTGACTGAGGAAGCTGCTCTGCCAGCCTAATTTAACCAATACTGATTTTGTCAGGTTGCTTCTGCCTGCTTCCATAAGGAACTGCTTGCTGAGTGGGTACTTGAAGATCCTCTCTGCTAACAAAGCTGTCTAAAAACTGTATCACAGGACTTGTGGAGAAAAGGCTGGCATTGCATCCTAGACTGACACAACACACTTGTACTTAGAATTGTGGTCAAATATGTGAGAACGCATTTGTATAAATGCTGTAAAATCTATGGAAAAATCTTTGAAAGTATTTGTAAATTAATGTCTTGAAATTACTAGATTATGTGACAATCACTAAATTAGTTCCACTAAGCTGAAACTTATGTATCCTGTGTCACTTGATGATCTGCAGGACATTCAAGTTTGGCCTAATGAAACTAATTTTGAGGTTTGCTAGTAATGTCATTCTAGTTTAGAGTATGTTAGCTGGAATTCTTTCTGGCTTGTGATTATTTTTAAGTCCCAAATGTAAGGTTAATGGCTACTCGCAGAGTAGTCTCAGAAAAAGAGAGAACAAGAAAATCTCAGCAAGATGACTCTAGAACAAAATTGTTGTAATGCATAGTTTCCAGTATATTCTCATTTATGCTACGATTGTTGCTGGAGCTAATGAGGTTTGAGAACAGTTAGCACTGTCAACTCACAGTGGAGTCCAGAGACTTTCAGTAAAACCTTTCTCTAACAAAGCTGTGAAAGCTGAAGACTTGGCATACTAAGAGGAACAATGATTCACACTGCAGACCACACAACATATTGCTATATATATGTATGCTATAGAATTACAACCACATATTTAATCTTCTAGAGTGAATTGGAATATTTTGAACATTGCTCAGGAAAAAAAGAAATATTATTTAGTACTCATAGAAAAAGATAACACCTATAGAATATACTATCTATTCTGACAAGACAGTGGGAAACAAAACTGTCAATTCATTGTGTGCTTCCTCCAAGTAAAGCTATAGTGATAACCAGAGGATATTTTAGTGAAACAGCTGAATCACCTATTGCTCTCTTCAGTGGAGCAGAAGACTAGGTTTTAAGTCACATTAGTCTGCACGCTACTGTTTTGACCCTACTGAGTGATGATTTTGTTTTGGACACATACTGTGAGTTTTCTGCAGCAATGAGAGGAGATTTACAGGAGGATGATTTTCTCAGAATCAAAGTGATGCTTTAAAAAAGTGTTAATCATGTTGAATTCTATTTAGTTCATTTAGGTTTTTAGTTCAGATGGAGTCAGTGTGGAATTTAGTTGTTAACTGAGAAAGCTTAACACAGTGAAAGGATGTTTGTGGAGAAACACCAGTGTGTACTGGTTTTTTTGGTCTTTTTAATAAGCTCTTTGTCCTTGAAAGTTACATGCAGCTCAGTAGGAAATCTGGATGCAGCAGCTCCCAGGATCAAACTCACTGCTGTATGATAGTTGTTTAAAACATGTGGTATGCTTCGGTATGGAATCTTTAAACAAAACAGTTCTAGCTTGCGGCTGTTGCTACACAGGCTGTATGCAGGTAAGTCACAAATAGCTGAGCATATGTGTGGTGCAAGGTTAAAACAATAACAAGCAGGTCGAATCATTCAAACACTGGAAATCACTTTGACTCCAGGCCAAAAGCTTAGCTTGAGATGATATCAGTATGGGATAGAAAGAGGATAAACTAACAGGCTTAGCAGCCAGCTTGTTGGAGTCAGCATATAGTATCTATACTTCCAGCAGGAGAGCAGATGGTCATATATTTAAAGAAGCACCAGACAGGGAGTCAGGAGATCTGAATTCTATTCCTGGCTCTGCAGCAGTGTTCCTATGTCACCTTGGGGAGCCACTTTTCCCCCTTTTTTCCTAATCTTTTAAGTAGTGGAAATAATATTTGCTTCTCTAACAGGGCAGCTAAGAGGCTAAACTGATGCTGAAAAAAACGCTCTGAAGTCCTGAGAAGAATATATGGAAGCAGTGCAAAGTAAAGTTGCTTGGAAGAAAGGACACCACATGATATCATATGGCATGTTTGTGCCACATGTTTATGACCTTTCCTCTCCCCAGAAAGTCCCATGCCTTTTTGTGCACAGTTTTCAAGGAGGGAATAAATGGATTAAGCTGCCTTCCACATTTGCTAGAAAGATAAGCAGCTGCCAGTAAAAACCTGACCAAAGAACAGACTTCACTACTGAGAGAGATGTTATTTACGCCTAAGCGGGCAATAGGCTTGTTGAAGTTAACTGTTCATCCCAAGGTATTATTTTGCATTGGTGGCAGAATAATGTCTCTAATGGCCTTTATTCTGAATTCAGCAGTGCTGCTTGCAAGCTGAACATAAGTACAAAATTAAGCATTGTATTTAATGAACAAATCTTCTGCTGAAATCCCCAAACAAGTCCATTTCTTAATTCAGAGAAATGTCCGTGATTCTTTGCACTGTATTTTTCTCTAAAGGTTATTAAAATCAACTAGATTTCAAAGGAATCTGAATCAAAGACCTAGCAAGCAATCGTCATTTCTCCTGAGTTCTATGCCCATCAAGCAAAATTACCTTCTCTATCTTCATAACTATTTGGCATCATAGGAGTAATGTTTTCACCACAGAATAAACGGCTCCAGCTTTGGGCTGGAGTTCAATTTTAGTTTTTATCGTGATTTGCTCCATTTCTCTTTATGCCTCCATTTTTCTTGTTACTAGATTCTGAGGCCCTGTCAAGGGATTGAACCCCATTTCAAAGCCAGGTCTGTTAAAAGGGCACAGACAACACTACAGAAGTCTTAAAAACATTAGTACAACTCATAGCAGTGGACAAAGGAAACAAAAGCAAAGATTATCTGAGCAGGTGTCCTGACTGTCAATATGCTCTTCGAACATGAGTTTGTTTTTCTGATTCCTCAAAAATTGAGCTTCTCTAATCCTATAAACTGGACTTCGTTCAGCTTTTCTGTTAGTCATTGTGGGTTGGAAATCTACATGGAGGGAAATACTCAGCATTTTCAGGTTCAGGCTGTTGAGCAGGTTATAGTGTGTTGCAATTAAATGGGAAGAGTCTGGTGTGGTTTATGAAGAACATATTCTTCCCTTGCCTGCAGTCTGGTTTTGTGAGAACACACTTTTGAGTTAAACTGTTCCTCTTTTTTATATTGGGACAGTTCTGCTGCCGGTTTCATTGATAACAGTCTTATTAGAAATGTAAGAGCAATCATTCTTTGATGAATCATATCCACTGCATGTGTACACAAACAAACTCACTAACTGGACTCTCTTCACCCAAAATCCATGCAGTTTTCTTCATTAAATCACCAGAGATAGCTTTAATCCAAGAGAGATGAGTAAAACAATTCCTTTCTGAAGAACTGGGCTGTATGTTTAACTGTTGTCTATAAACGTTACTCTTGATATATGAACTTAGCAAGAAATTAAATATTTCAGATAGTAACCAGCCCACTGTTTGAGTATATAAACACTCTTTATGACAGTGTAGAGTTGTTAGTCTTTGGCCAGAGACTGGTCTGGTCCAAATGAAAGTGGTTTAGATGAGACTCTGATGTCCCCATCTTTCCCTTTTACAGGAGTGTTGGTTATTCTTTCATGTCCCCTTTTTAGTTAGGCAAGTGACAGAATTGCAGTCGAAAGGTCAAAGAATCGTTCCATAAAGACACAAACACAAGAAGAAAGAGAGTAAGGATGGAGGTTTTTTACCATTGTTCTTTCGTTCTTGCCCATCCCCATGATTTTTATAGATATCTTCACTAGTTGCCGTGGACCTTGCAGGTAACACTTTCTCAAAGTACTACCAATTTTGTCACATAACATTTTCAAAGATAGAAAGGTGAGATAAGGAAAAATCTTCTTCACATCCTAGAAAAAGTGATTCAGTGATAATGTTGTTAATTATATTTGTGTTTTGGGGTGTGGAAGAGAGCTTTAATAATTAAGAAATAGTAGAGCTATTTACAAGTGAAGTTAATGATTCAACAAGGGCAGATCTTCCAGGATAAGTCTAGTTATATATTATAATTGTACAAATCAAGTGTTCAGTCCAGATCTATCCTCCTCCTCTCTAGTCCTGCACTGTCGGTGCTTTGCACAAAGATGTGGCTTTCTCTTGGGATCGTCTTGTCTCTGGGGATGCTAATTCCTGGAAAACTCAGCTTGAAATTGCAATATGACAGGTGAGTGTGAATGTGGTGTCATGAAGAATTGTGCAGTCAGTGAAATTCCCAGGAACTGTGAAAGAATATTAACAATTATGAGCTGAAAACCAGGAGACAAGGTTACTAAGCTCTAAGCTTTGTAAGATTCGTAAAGAAAACATAAAGATGAGAAATGAAGAATGAGTGAATCAAATCCAAGCCAACAAAGATACAGCTGCAGCAGTGGGAGCCACAGAATGGCCCTCAAATGCACCTCGGGATGCTTCACTTCCATTAGCTGAAATTCATTTGGTTTAGCCTTTCATAATGAACTTTGAAATCAGATGTTCTAGGAATAAAATGTCTTTTCTGAGTATAAAGCAAGGGAGATGACTGAGCAAAATTATATCTATTAATAAAAGACAGCTTAGGTTATGTGAAAAAAATAGCAAAGCCCTGTTGGAAACCTGTAACAATTGCCAAAAAAATGCTAAGGGAGTTGTTTCAGACAACCTTTCTTCACTCAAAGAATGGGATTATCACATTTTTTATTACTGACTAATGTTCTTGAAAAGCATCAAATCTCTAGTTTTGCTGTATTTTCCATTCTCAGTTCCACTTCTTCAGAAAATGAGTGATATAAAATTATGCTGTTTGCCTAAACTATTTTTGTTTCATTCATCTTCAACTTTCAAGGAATGATAGGTCACTCTGCCATTGTGGCAGCTGGGATTTGCAGGAGGGACACGAGCACAGTGTGGAGACCACCATCCACATATAAATTTATACAGGGAATTTTCTGAAGTAAACAGAGAAAGTAGTCCAGTGCTGAATGTCTCTAGACTAATTATATCCCCAGAATATAGACATAAAAAGGACAGAAAACCAAGCAATACCTACGGCAAGTAAGTTCCTTCAATGTATAACCATTCAACAGCTCTCCTGGAAAATCTAGCAGAGCATAAAGAGTCACTACTTAAAATGTGTTATTTCCCCTGGATAATATTTAGTCTTTAGATGTGTATTAGGGATGCAGTCAGAGACTTGATTTCAGTGAACAGAATTCAGTCGATCCTTGGTAATATAGTTTTCATTTTTGTTCCTAATTACTGTCCAGGACTGAACCTGTTGAGTACTTGCATAGAATTTAAAAACAAGTATCATGTGGTCATTGTGACTTTGGATGGGCAGCACCTGCACAAAGATGAAATTTTTAGTAAAACCCATTTTCATTGTCATTTGCTCTGTTCAACAACTTAAATGAAATATCTGATCTATGAGCATCCAAGGAAACACAGCTAGTCCTAAGAACAGCCCTTTAATTTGGTAAGAAAGCTTAAATAGCATTTTAAAAACTGTAGTTCTCATGTGGTCACATGGGCTGACTTTGCACTTCTTCACTGAGAAACTAAGTCCATAATAATAAACGAATGTGTGCTTTCTAATCTTAGTTTAGTATTAGAAATGATTTGTCTCCACACTGGCTATTGTGAAAGGTTTATCAGTAAATAAGAGCTGGCCATCTGGCAGCAATCTGACTGTCTGGAATTTCTCTGATTTGGTGTAATTAAGACATAATGTCAATGAGGATAGAAAGATATTATAGGATATTGTTTCCCTTCCTGATAGACACAAAGCAAAGCAAGCCCAGGCATTTAGAGAGAATAAACTCTGAACTGCAGCTGAGATGTTTACTCTGCTAGCAAAGATGTTTATCCTGCATCTACAAGGTTTATCACAAAGATATCATGGCTGTTGTACCAACTACTAGCAATGGAAATGTAATCATTTTGCCCCACAGACAAGGGATTAACAGCATCTCCTGAACCAGTAGTAAACGGCACGTTTTAACTACCAAGTTCTCTATCAGAAAAGGTTATATTTTCTGGAAAGACGTAAAAAATCAGAAATCCCCCTATTTCTCTGGGGATAAAGTGAATGAATAGTGAATTCTATTTGCATGTCTATTAAGCTGATAATTGTACATTTCTGTATGGAAGCACAAATGATGGCAGTTGCAGTTCAGGTGGTGAGAGCATATTGAAGACTGTAATGACCATGGCTTTAATGAAAAGCCATGCAAGGCTTTTGCAACGTGAATTTCTGTTACAAAATCTTTAAAATGTTCTCTTTTTTGTACTTGTCCTGTAAAGGCTCCAAGGTCATAGAACCATAGAATCATAGAATTAACTGGGTTGGAAGAGATCTCCGAGATCATCAAGTCCAACCCTTGATCCAACCCCACTGTGATTAAAGCCATCACATAAGACTGTGAAGCAGTAGTTGTTGGTTGCTATACAAATAGGAAAATTTCTAGGATTCCCCATTCTATCACAACAGTAGTGGATAAGTGCTATCTCACCTTTGAGTAATGCAATGTAGTCATCAACATCCACTCCTCACTATGAAACCCTTTCATTAGAAATGTCACACTTGCTATCAGTCCAGGAAAGCCACTCTGAACAAACACTGAGAAAAAAAGAATAGAAAAATAATTACAAGGACTTTTTTAATACAGCATACAGATTTGTTATTTTCTGCATTTAACAACCATTTTTATTTGTTCCTTGTAAACTTTCAATATTTTCGTCATATTAAGCCTATAGTAAATGAAAGTTTCATGGGGCTTCAAGAAAATAGATACTTAGACTCTGGATCTGTGTGTCTTCTCTAGAAATATAAAATGATGGATCCTGTACCAGAAATTTTTATTTCCTGTGAATTGAGTAAGAATATGCAGTTCTGGAGACCACAATATTCACTATTTGTGGAATAAATTGGCTATTTTCATGACAAGCAGTTTGTGGACATATGAAGCTCTAAGAAATGTTCATTTATCTTGACTATTTTATGGTTTTGCGTGCCAAGGACCAAGTCAATCTGGAATAACTAAACAAATCCCAAATGAGAGGAAAAAAAGAAGTGACATCTTATCAAATAGATGGTTTATTATATATTACCAATGCTCTCATTTTGGCCATGGTCCTGAAAAGGCAGAAACACAAAGCAGGGCTCACGTGAGCAGCGGGCTTCAGTGAAGCTGGTATGGTAAATAAAGGATTGCCACCAGCAAGGAAGCAGAGTGGCTAATGCTCTAGCAACAGAAAACTCACATCACTTAGTCCTATTTGCAGCTTAAACATTCCATGAATTCATCACTTGGACACATTTTTGTTGGAATAGCACTCAGTTACATGCTCTGTCTTCCCTTTGAGTAACAAAAGATCTCCTTTTGACTTATGAAATCATGGATACTTTAACAGACATTAAAATCGATCCTGTTTCTCTGTTGAATTTCCAGGGATCAGGTTTTGCATATTGTGCCAGAAACATCTCAGCAAGTCCAGCATCTTCAGCTTCTTCACAGTACTTTACTGGTAAGAACAACTACATGTGCCCAAAAAGCAGGGTGGGGTCTTGGGCTGTGAAACAGGTGTGCATGTAGCTTTGGTCAGGAAAAAGGTTAAAGTAAACTTGAAAAAGCTTTACCTAACTTTTTTTTGGTCTTAGTGTAGGATGAAATTGGCTTTCTACTGAAGTAATTTATGTGAAGAAGTTGGTTTCCTTGCATGGTTCTGTGAAGGTGCTGCTCTCTACCAGTGGTGCCTGAGTCAACAGAAACACTTACCCTGTGCTGCATGCTCTATTGAATATATGACTGGAAAGTTACGGGGAGAAGGAAAACGTCTTTCATTTATTGATATGCAGTTACTCTATCTTAAATACATTTTCTTATTCTGAAAACAGAGCTTCACTTCTGCATTTCTTTCTTCTCTCTGTACAGCTGGATTTGTGGAAGCCCTTGAGGCCTGAAGATATCATGGCTGGAGAAGAACTGCACATCAGGGTCCTAGGCCCTCTGGTGCAGGAGGTGAAAGACAGCTTAGATCAGCATATGATCTCTTACAGGTACAGCCTCTAATACCCTGATGGGAAAGGTGGGCTCTAACAATCCTCCTTGCCATCACAGAAGGACCCAGCCTTTTCCAATGAACAGTCAGCAAGTACTGGCAATAGAACCCAAACTTTGTTCCAAATGCCCCCAACTTACCTTGACCAGCCAAATGCACAGATGCTGCATAAACCTTAGAGTTTCCCTATGTCCTGTTTATTCACCTTCCAGTTATCCTGGACTGTGAATTTGGAGCTGGGACCTGAGACAGCCCAATCTATCTTGTTTCCCGCTATTGCCTTCTCAGTGGCAGAGGATGGCACCTAGATGTATGACTCACTTTTTTAGTCTAAAGTCAGGAAGTCAAACTGGTACAACCACTATTTATAGGAGCATGCTTTGCTCTTGGAAAACATAGATATTTGCTCTCCTATTTTGGAGACCCCGAGGTTTAATCAGTGTCACTGCAGAGAAGAAGTCTTTAGCTCTCCTTTTCCCTTCCCTATCTTTTGTTGCTCCTCTGGTTTGGAGAAGAGCCCTTTCAAAGTCAATATTCATCCAGTTTCTTCAAGGCTGCAGTTTCCTACCCCTGTCCCCACTACCAGGCTGGTAAGAATTTCCTGGCACCATCCAGCCAAACAGAAACATCTCATCTTGGGACAAAGATCCCAGTGGCAGATGCCCACTGTGCACACAATTGGGAGCCACGACATGCAAACGGCCAAATACTTCTAACCAGAAGAGCTAATCCAGATATAAAGAATGGTTATAAAGCCAAATGGGATTAAATAAGATCCATTCCTCACACAGTCCCGTTCCCATTTAGAACTGACTGTTTCAGGTAACCAGTAGCTAATTTAATTTAGCTATATTTAGTACAAACAATCCTGAAGTCATTCAGGGCTGATGAGAAATGGCCTGTGGACATACACTGGCATTTACCAACCAAAGATAAGTTTAAGGAAGACTGGTGCCACTTCAAAGTTTTTTTGAGTTAAAGCTGATCTTGACATCTTGCATCTTGCCTGATGAGTTCTTTTAGTAAGTGTGATGCCCTGACAACCAGACATGAAGAGATATGAGGTTGGAGCCTGTACAAGTGATCTAGCATCAGGTTTAGGTATTCAGGACAACACTCCAGAAGATATTTAACGTGTTATCTTGTATCAAGACTCTTCATTTTCTAATGGTTTCAACTGATTCTAGTTGAAAATTAAAGAGTAAACTGTAGTTAGCAGCTTAATTTTGTTTTCCCTTGAACTGGGGCCAGAACTTCATCCACCTTACACAGGGCTCTACAGAAAGAGATGAGATGAATAGTCAAGCTGAAATTGCAAAGAGCTTGAGATGAGTACAACAGTGTTAAAGTTCCTATAACAGATTCAAAGCAGGAACCACCTTTTAGAAGGCAGCTGACATGACAGTCAGGTATATAATGATAGAGACATAAATAGCAAATTATAATCAGGACATCAATATTCTGGCTGTGTCAGACTCTGGGATTTCAATTCTCCAGAGCACTGATAAGGCATTTTGTGTGTGTGGGTTCACTTCATGGGAATTTGCACTGCCTGAATTTTAGTTTGAAGTTTAGATGTGAATAAACATCAAAGCTCAGAGTGAAAGTCAGCTGTAACTACTCTTAAAAATTTCTTATGTGCAGTTTCCAGAAATGCCAGTCATGGCTACTGTCAGCAGAAAAGCCCATTAGCACTTACAGCATTTGAGATCAACAGTGTTTGAGCTACCTTTGCAATTGTCTTATCGCAAGTATTTACAATGAGCACAGATTTATAGCAGTGTTACAAGGGGCTGATTGCAGTGAGAAAGAACAGCCTATGATCCAAAGTCCTCTGAAGCCAAGGAAACGGTTTTATTGACTCCCTTGATCATGGAATCACGCCTGTGTTATACTAATCACTGAGCAAAAAGAAAAAAAGAGCTGAAAAGCAAAAAGAGTTACTTGAAGGAAATAAGATTTTTGTTCTAATTTTTACCAATTGCAATGAACACATCTGTGAAGTCTTTGCAAATTGAAAATATCTTTATAAAATGCAATGAAACACTAATCTTAAATTTATCAGTCCCTTCTTTTTCCCAAAAGGTGGTATTTTCAGAGTTTTGCTCAGAAATAGAAGTGGTGAAGAAAACTATTGAACTTCTTATTTTCGAGGGGAGAAAATTAGCAACTTTTAAAAAAATCTTGTAAAAATTATTACATTATTGTTAAAACCCTTTGAAAAATCTCAATACTTTGAACTTTGCCTTACATGAAAGTTACCATAATGCTGATGGTGATGATTCTGCCAGGCAATCCACAACAGAACAGGCTAAATCCTTTCATTTGCTGATCTAATGTACAATGTAGCCACCATGATAGTTCTGCAGTAACTGCTAAGGATTGGTTTTTTCCCCTTCCCCTCCCCTCAGGGTCCTAATACCTGATGTGCAGGAACTTGTGGATCAGAACATGCCAAGGGAGAGGAGCAGCCACAAACAGGTCCGAGAAGGTTATGTCTACACCCAATATCATCCAATGGAAGAGGTAAAGAAGAACAAAAGTCTGCTTGCGTTCTTTGTTGTTTATGTTTTGTAAAAGCTACAGTAGGCAACCTGTGCTTGCAGAAAGCTCAGCTGAAGTCAGTGGACCTCTTTCTGGCTTTCTTCCTTGCAGAATCAGTCCTTACTCTTTGACTATAATCTTGGTGTGGTTGAATTGAACATGGATTTGCCACTAATTTTGATTAAATCCTCAGTTCCCCACTGACCAAAACCCAGATGCTGTGCATGAAGCAGCCACACTGTTTTGCAGATGATATTCTGGGGTTCAGTTGATTGGTTTGCTACCTTTCTACCTTCTTCTGCTTTGTCATTATCTCTAGCCTTTATTCATTTAAACCCCTGTTTGTTTGACACTGAGCCAAATGCGAAGTGCAACAACTATTGTGGTGTCTGGAATCTCAGTGAGGAAGAAGAGGTGAACAATGGGAGAATGTAGAGAATGTAGAAAGAAATAATTTAAGGGCAGGTTTTTGATACTTTGGGAGAGAATAATGTCATAAGGGTGGGCAGTGAAGATTTTTTGGTGTTATGTTTCACAGATGAGTGGGTAAATCTGGACAAAAGCAGAGATTGGTGGTGTTCTTCCTCCTAGTCGCATAATAAAAGTGAGAGAACAGAGTCAACCCTCTTGTATACTTTGTTTGAGCTACCCATTTGGGGTGAGTGCTGCTGAACTCAGATGTGGAAAATCAGTACTGATAGGGAATAGACTGTAATACTGTTTTGAAGATTTGATGGTGTGGCTTCATGTTTGGTGAACTCAGCAGGAAGATACCCAATAGGATGGGCATGATGAATGAGATCCAGAATGGAGTACCCATGTTGTATTGAAGTGATGTCTTTTTTTAACACCCAGTGAGATATGACCACGCATGAGAAAGACCTTCCATGAGTATGAGTGACATCACAGATTGAAATAAACTCTGAGGAAAATGTTGCTTGTTTAAACAAAAGCAAATGTTTTAATCTGGAAATGGAGGCAGGAAAGAGAAGGAAACTCCCACTTTGGACCAAGAATTCTCTGTGACTATTTCAGATTTATCAGTGGATGACTCAGATCCAGAATAATTACAGTGAGCTGGTCACTCAGCACTTCCTGGGGATGACATTTGAGAATCGACCAATGTATTATCTACAGGTAAAGGAGGAATGTTCTCTTAATAATAAAAGGATCTTAACAACAAAAAAAAATACAGAGAAGAAGACAGAATTCAGATATTTTCCAAGATAGCACTCATCCCAATTCACTGAAATAGCAGGAGATGGTTTAACTCCTTTACAGGGCAGTAAGATTTGCCAACTTTGTTATACACTATCACTATAAGCTTGCTATTGCTATTATGTAGTGAAAACAACAAATTTAATTAAAGTCTTGTACAGAAAGACAAATCAAGCTGAAACTAGCTTGGTAACAGCTGTGTGATGATAAAGACTTTTGGTTTGTTATTTTTATTACTTTTTACAGTATATAACTTTTCTACTAGGAGTATTCCATGACACTTTTTATTGGCCCGCTAGTAAAAACCGTAGTCTTAATATTTGGGTTAGCTATTGTCTAATCTGTTCTTATCACTGAATAAAATTAGATTCCCTGCCTTTTTGTTCTTCTCCTTCTAAATAAAAAAAGAAATTAAAAAAGAATCTCCAACTAAGAACTTACACTCCTGTGAATGACTAATAGAGATGAAAAAGGAAAAAAAAAAGAGAAACTGTTCTATTAACTGTTCTATTGACGTTCCTGCTCAACAGACACTTTAAAGCTCACGCCTTGTGATACTACAGAGACGGGGTTATTAGGAAGGAAAGCTTGTCATAATGATGTCTGTAATAATAATAATCTCAGATGGCTCAATGGCATATCAAGGCACATCCTTTACTTTCTCTATTACATTAGGCTATTTTATTGTAATGTAACAGTTTTAAAATTATTATTTTTACAATCTCTCAGATCAGTCAACCATCAAATAAACCCAAAAAGATAATTTGGATGGACTGTGGGATTCATGCCAGAGAATGGATCTCTCCAGCCTTCTGTCAGTGGTTCGTGAAAGAAGTGAGTTCTCACTTTTGCATTTAGATAATAAAAAAACCCATATCATTTTAGATACTTCAGTTCTCTATCATGGTACCAAGAATTATGTTTTTCTGATAAAATATGATTTTCAAAATTAGTACATAGTACAGATACCTGTGGAGACCTAAGTCCAAATCACAGTTTGAGATATGGGGCAATATTAGTTCATCAATTGCTCCACCTGCACTGTTTCCCAATCCTTCCAAAATTTGGTAGCAACCTCTCCTTTTCCCACAGTGGCTTTTGGATCAAGCCTTTCTGTGTCACAAAGTGACAGTCCTCCTGAAATAAACCCTAAGCTATGGTCTAGCAATGTTCCATGTGTACAGAAAGTATCTGGCACACAGGTACATATCATGCACCCTTCATACCCACAAGACTGTATCAATATGGAGTACACTCTCACCGGATACCCTGTTACTTTGTTAATGACAAAAGGTGTTTATCTCAACATATCAGGAGATCAAGTAGATGTTGGATACCGTAGTGATATCCAGGAGTGAGTGATTGCAGGATAATAGTTCTAATCTAGCTCTTTCCAGTGATCGCCACTAAATTATCTGCTCAGTGCTCTGTACTTTTTCTGTTCAGATTCTTCAGACTTACAAATCTGACCCAAAGATTAGAAGATTTCTGCAGAATTTGGATCTCTATGTCTTGCCAGTCCTCAATATTGATGGCTACATCTATTCCTGGGAAAAGGTAAGTAGTGAAAATCCAGGAACTGGAATGAAAGTGTGCAACATGTTTTGTTAGTTCTGGATATTTTCATTCTTTCAGTAATAGCAATTATATTTAAACAGAAAACAGTGACATTACCCACACAAATCCTTTCATGGTGGAGAGGTTTTGTTTCTTCTGGCAAATCAACAGTCCCATGAGATTGCAGAGCTAAAAATTCCTTACAAATGTCATGAGCATTGGGAAGACAAAACAACAGGATCAATTGCTTTTGGGTTTATAGGTATCACAGAATCACAGAATGTATTAAGATGGAAGGGATTCACAAGGATCATCAAGTCCACCTCCTGGACCTGCACAGGGCCATCCCCAGCACTCACCCCCAACAGTCTCTGGCACACCATGTGCCTGAGAGTATTGTTCAAACACTTCTGAACTTTGTCAGCCTTGGTGCTGTGACCACTGCCATGGGGACCCTGTTGCAGTGTCCAACCACCCTCTGGGGGAAGAACCTTTTTCTAATATCTGATCTAAGCCTCCTCTGACACAACTTCAGGCCATTTCTTTGAGTCCTGTCACTGGTCATCACAGAGAACAGATCAGTGCCTATCCCTCCTCTTCCCCTCATGAGGAAGTTGTAACTGCAATGAGGTCTCCCCTCAGTCTCCTCTTGTCCAGGCTGAACAGACCAAGTGACCTCAGCCACTCCTCATACAGCTTCCCCTCAAGTTCCTTCTCCATATTTATTGCCCTCCTTGGACACTCTCTAACAGCTTTATATCTTTCCTATATTGTGGTGCCCAAAACTGCCACAATATTCAAGGTGAGGCTGCCGCAGTGCAGAGCAGAGCAGGACAATCCCCTCCCTTGACAGTCTGGTGATACTTTGCCTGATGGCCCCCAGGACATGGTTGGCCCTCCTGGCTGCCAGGGCACTGCTGACTTATATTCATATATGGGCTTACTTCATTGATAACAGCTCAAGGCCTGGTTGATGGAGTTAAGCATGTCTGGAAGAGTCATTAATTCTTCGCAAGAGATCTCAACCAGCAGATGAGTCTTAGCACCTTTGCATGGGACAGGAGGAAAATTGGTCAAATATTGGGCTATTTGGATTTAAAATAGGTGTGCCCTGTGTCCTTTTCTGATACAGAGGATAACGCAAAATGTTGGTCTTCAGCCACTCTCATCATGCTTCCAGGCTCTTGAGCCTTTTAATGCAGGACCTCGGCATGGCCCAGCAGGCTGAGCCTACCACCATGTGGATCCTGCTGTCTCCCTAGGTGTCCAGTAGGTTTGGGGCATACCACACACTGCACTTGGATGCACAGGTAATTCAGTTGGGAGCTCATAAAGGCAGTACAGTGAGGTCTGCACAGAACCAAGTATAGCAGTGAGTATAGTAGGGAACCAAGGAGCAGCAGCAAGATTAGCTGACAAAAAAGAATTAATCTTCCTGAATCTGAACAAACAGAAGTTCCACTATTGTCTCTTATCCCTCACAATACCAAGTCTTGCTTAGGAATGCAACACTGCATGGAAGCAGTTGAGTATTAGAGAAACAGCATAATTAAAAAAAAAAAAAAGCTCAGGAAGCTCATTTCAGGGTGCATGCAGGCTTGTGACAGGTGACAGCCTGGCTCTAGTAGATGAATTGTTCTATCACTAAGCATTATCACCTTTGCACACAGAACTGTACTTTTACAATGCAAGAGTTACTTAGAATGCAGAGGTCTAAAATAAAGGAGTCTTTACACCCTGTTATCACTGGGCCATGTGGATCATTGAGTTATTATGTAACAGAAGTTCCTTTTCTTTAGGACCGTTTGTGGAGGAAAAACCGTTCTCCATATGAGAATGGCACCTGCTACGGGACAGATCTGAACCGAAACTTCAATTCATCCTGGGGCAGTAAGTTTGAAGTATTTCAGATCATGAACACAAATGTAACACAAGCGTAATAACTAGTTTCTGAAAAAGAAAATATGAAGTCCTATAAGAAAGGAACACTCATTTTGCTGTCATCAAGGCACAAGTAAAAACAAAATTCTGCTTTGTAAGTGTTAACTCATTGATTTTCAACTGGCATTTATTTTTGTGAGCAGAAAATTGTTGCTTATATAGTTATACCTCTAATTCACTGCAGGAGCAAGCATCAGCTCTAGACAGCAGTGTTAGGAGTTAGTGGCTTAACAGCCAGTATTTACGTTTGCCATGAATTTCAAGGAGGCTCCAACAGTTGATATGCTGTGGTGGTGTCACAGTGTTTTCGTTGCAGCCATCCTGTAAATGTGCATAAAATATTTTGGTCTTGTAGGAAATTTTAGTTGGTACCAACAGAGTATAATGTTAAAGGCCCACTGTGCTGTCTTGTCTCCCTGCCCACAAAAACACATGCTTTAACACTCCAAGGTAAATTTCCCAATTCCCTCTGAACTGGTGTTTTATGTCTCTCATTTGATTCACTTTTTGTATTCCTCCCCAGCTGTTGGTGTTTCTTTTGACTGCAGCAGTGAGGTCTTCTGTGGCTCTGGACCAGAATCAGAACCGGAGACAAGAGCTGTGGCTCAGTTTATCAGAAGGAAGAAGAGTGACATTGTGTGCTTTTTAACGATTCACTCCTATGGACAGCTCATCCTCAGTCCATACGGTTCCACAACCAAACCTCCAAGCAACAATGAAGAACTGGTAGGGCAAAACATTCATCTTCTACACTGATAGAGAGCAAGTACAGGCAGTAGCATGTGGCACAATCCTACTTGCCCTCTTGCCTTTCCTTCAGAATAGTGGGGCTTATTCAGGACCTTGGCTCCCAGAGTTACTGATGATCTATGCAGTAACAGTAAGGTTTATTTGCCTCAGAGATCCCAATTCTTCAACTTAAATCAGGAAAATTGAATGACTACAGATAGGAATAATGCAATGCAAGGTAAATGGAGAAGAGCAACAATTTTTTGCTGCATACAAGAATGAGTTTGCACTTTAGGATGCCAGCACATTATACACATACGGCTGTCATGATTGTGTCCAGAAAGGGTATTCCAAATGTGCTCTGAGGAGAATGGGAGCAAAGTAAACACCTAATTCTTGGTTATTTCTCCCCTCGGTTTCTGACTGTTCTGAGTTCATTCACATGTGTATTTATGAAGATTCCAGTAGCTGAAGCACTAGTTGAGAGCATGAGGGATTTGGGTTTGAACTTCATATGAGTCATTGGAGAAGTAATTTAGTTTGTCTGTGGTTCAGTTTCTAAAGATGGTGGGATACAGAGTCTATGGTAATAAAACAAGAGTAACAGGTCAATCACTGCTGTAGTCAGTGCCAATGTGCTATACAGCATGGACCCTTAATTCTGCAAAGTACAAGCCCTCTAGCTTTACAACAAAGCAAATAGCATCTCTATCCCATCGCAGAGTAATTTAAAAATTTTTAACATAATTTGCATTAAAAAAGTCAGAAGAAGTTGTCCAAGTGTTTATAATGGGTTCCTCTAAAGACCTGAAATCATGATATTAAAACTCAAAGCTGATCGTATGTAAATGTAAAGTTGAAACAGACCAAAATTTTGGTCCACTCAAAATAATTGCCAAATTTTTGTCACCAATGACAACGTTTTTAATTTCCAGATTCAAGTTGGAGAGAAAGCAGCTGCTGCACTGGCAGGAAAGTATGGCACCAGCTATAAAGTAGGACCACCCTCTTTAATTTTATGTAAGTTTCTTTACCTTTTCCTTTGATTGCTCTGTTTTTCAAAGAACAGAGTCATTCTTGTGTCACAGGCCTCAGCAAGTACTGCTTTTCTGAGTTTCCTCTTGAGTAATATTTAAAGATCTGGTTCAGTGGAACATCTAAGCAGCAGTCATTTGAATACAAGGTAACTCTCTAAGTTATAAAGCTAACTGCAGGAATGAAGAAAGCATTGATCAGAAGCCAGTTCCTACATGGATTCCTCACAGATACATCACAGGGGACAGAAAGAGACTGGTGATAGATCATCCTGACCTTGCTGAAGTCAGCACCAAAACTCCTATTTGTCTTCACTGGAGTCAAGCAAAAATTAAAATTGCAATCAGGTCTATAGTTACTCCATCAGACATTATCACATGGCAGCTGCTTGCAATTCTGTGTGAAATATATCAGTTTCAGCCTTGTTCCTAATAGACTGGATAGCCACATCACAACCACAACATCACAGCTGATACTAGTTGACAGCCTTTACAAAGAGGACTAGAGGGCCCTAGAGGCTGCCTGGTAAACTCAATATTTTCCCAGTAAGCAAGAACAGTAAGTAGCTGGCTCCAGAATCCATGTGGTTTGCATATTTCAGGGTATGTCTCTCCCAGTCTCTGAGTGCCAGTCTCTGAGTCACCTACTGCATGAGCAATGCAGTGTAAAGTAACTTGCCCCTGCCTAGGACTGTATTTTGCCAGGGTTTGTACTTATACTGAATAGGTAAGAAGAAAGATTCATGAGTAAGATGAACAGTGATACAGGAAGCAGCCAGAAATTTTTCAGGTTTGACCAAAATTAACCTTAAAAACAACTATAAATAGAAATTCCAATCAGTATCAATGTAGGAAATGAAGTACCAGAACAGATAAATGGCCAATTCAACTTGTACTCCATACAGAGTAAAATGCTAAAAACACAGAATCCCTGAAACTCATCTCCTGTTACCGAACAATACCATCTTATAAAGAATTGAAGACTTTTAGTCTTCATGGAAGGCTCTTAGTATAATTAAGAACTGCAGCACCTACAAACTCTGTTTTCCATGTCACAGTGATGTATGGTTACTGCTTAGTTCAGGGATTCTGGTATAAACTCACATTAACTGTAGCAAGAAGTATTTTTAAAGAACCATGCTTAATACAAATATCTCCCCTCTTTTTTTTTTTTTTTTTTAAATTCACAGACAATAACTCAGGCTCCTCACGGGACTGGGCCCACATGATTGGCATTCCTCTCTCCTACACATTTGAACTGCGAGACAACGGTACTTATGGATTTCTTCTCCCCGATAACCAGATCCAGCCCACGTGTGAGGAGACGATGTTGGCTGTGACAACTATCATAGACTATGTTTATCAGACGTACTTGCCAAATGGGGCTGTGGTTCTGACCTCCAGCAGCCTGGCCCTGAGCCTTTGGCTGAGTATTGCACTGACATGGACTGTTTCTTAAAAATGGCTCAAAGAACCCAGCAAGAGACTCATGTGCAAAGTACAGTGTCCCTTCGAAAATACAAAATTACACGAGCGGAGGAACTCAATGTCAAGTATTTCAATAAAGACTCATCCCACAAAATAAAAGCACCCACTAATGATTTTGATAGCTATGTTTTAAGGAAGAATGGAAGGATGAAGAGCTATGGCAATATCCAATCTTCTCTTGCTGGTTCTGCCTACTCTTTAAGGGACCTTAAATCAATCATTCATGACAAGTACCCATGAGGACAGAGCATTTTACTCCCTGGTTCTGGAGCACCTTTTCAGGGACTTACTGGGCTTATGTAGCCCTTCTGTCAGCCTTAGTCCTGCTCTATCCCAATTTTCCCACTGCCTGAACCCGCTAGCTTCTGGGTCTTGCTGGCCTTAGCAGGATGCCTGTGAGAATTGAATGTCCTCAATTCCCACTACAGAAAATTGGATGGCTTCCTTGACAACCACCCCGAAACTGCCAAATTAGGATTTGCTAGAAAATACAGGGCCTCAAAAGCTGATGAAATGTCATAACCAGGAAACTATCAACAGCAGTCTGAAACAAGCTGAAGATTTGAGCTGGTACAAGTGTGTGGGGACAGAGAAGAGGTGAGGCCCTGTCACTTAGATGCAGTCAGATTAGTGAAGATAGAAGCTGCCCAAATCCTTCAAAAATTCAAAAGGGAAAGGGAAAAGAAAGATAAGAATAGGATTCTACTCCTACAGAGAAGATCACAGAGTGGTTTCTTTGCATCGACTTCCAAAACTGTGACTGGTGGTGTCAATTATCCTCCTTAAGTCAGACTCCTAAGGGATTTCACCAGAGACTGTACATAAAGAAAGTCTATTTACAGACGGGTTTCTTTCTTGCCAACCATCTTAGTCCTTTGGGGTTGACTCTGCAAAAGGACTTGGGCCCAGTTTTGTCACTGTCCCTCACCTGAGAGAGCCTGCTGTCTGCAGGGCTCTGCCTGGGGTCCTCATAGGAAGCTTGATGCTCAGTGGAGTGCCAGAGGAAACAAAACGTTTCAGCCCATCAGGCAGGGACTCTCCATCTGAGCCTCTCAAAAGGAGTGCCAAGGAAAGAGCTTCTGTGTTGTTACAGCCAACACCAGAGGGTGCAGGGCATTCACTGAAATAGAGAAGGCCTATTTTAACCTTTACTCTCCTTTTAAATCCAGGAGTCCTGCATCCCAGAAATACGTCCACCAGGCTTAGCTACTACAGATAATAGATTACTTTTTTGTCCTGATAGGAAATGAAGAATCCCAGGGGAAAAAAAAATGAAAAAAAATATATGAAATGTCCGATTTTCTTAGCAAATGTCAAGATTGTGCTTGAAAATAGAAAGTGTTCTAACCAGAGATTTTTCAAAAAAATATTTCCAACTTTATGGAAAGAGTGCTTTTTTCCAACCCCCCCAACTGCTTGAAGGCTAGCGATGGAAAATGTAGACCATGAGCTTCTGCCAGAAAACTCACAGATAAAGGACACTGAGAGAACTGAAACATTACTATCCTCAGGTTATAAAGTACAGCAAGACTCAGTAACTTAACTAAGATGTCATAGAGGGTCTGTGGCAGACTCTGGAAAATTCTTCTGCCCAGTTTTCTTCCAATGCTGCCAAGAGAAGGATGTGTATCATTTCACCATGGTACTGTTAAAAAAAAAACAACAAACTACACCAAAACAACAACAACAACAACAAAACCAACACAAAAACAACAACAACAAAACAATACAAAACAAAAAAAAAAAAAAACACAAAAAACACACACACACACAAAAACCGAAAACAAAACCTTGCAGCCATTTTTCCAAAGCACATTCTGTTGTTATTCTGTTGTTCTGTCTGCACTATTAGTTGACAAATCTTAACTCGTGTGTTCATTGTCCACAGATTATTACCAATTGGTGCAGCTAAATCTGCCTAACTCCTGCAGGTTCCCCAGAGCATTGTCTTTCCAGACCAACCACTCATTTACAGTAAGACCCGTCTGTTGCTGGGCTCTGGAGCAGGTGTCACTAATTAGCACCTCCCCCAAAAGGAGCATCACTCCCCAAACTTACGTTTAGTTTAGGATGTGAGTCTTGTAAGTCTTTATATTTGTATTTGTGTATTCTGTCTTTGGAACTGTAAGAAACAAGACAAGTCCATCTGGCTCACGACTGTAAGATATCTTGAAGCAAGTGGGGTTTTACCACAAGTGTTTCATAGCCATTTGCTGGCAAACAGCAGTGAAGCTCCCCGGTGCCACCAGCAGCAGATGGCAGAGCCCTCTGGGAACCAATGCCCACACGCTCACCTTGCCAAAGCCAACCCAAGCTTGGGCTGCCACGAAGTGCTTTCCAAAACTAACCCACGACTACACTGGTACAAAAATACTGCCAGTGTTCACTGGATTCGGAGATACTGCACAGCCTGTATGCCTAGAGCCAGAGAGGAAGAGAGCTGGTTTTGCTGATTGCGGGTATCTTTTGATAAAAATGTTTACCACTACAAGATACAACCAGGTGTGTCCTAAAGTTAATTGGCAGGCTTCTGTGGAATGGCTCAGTCCCTCACTAGCTCCTCCTATTGTAATGACATCTGTCAGGCATGGGAAGATACCCCTGCACATGGCACAGAGGCAAGAGAATGAGGGGGGAATTTGCCTTCAGTGTTCCCAGTATTCAAGAGTCATAGAAGTGGAGAGGAAGCCTTTGACAGAAAAAAAGTAGATAGCTGGCAATAATAATTATCTAGAAGAATGTCTGCTGCTGTCAGCACGCTGATTATGCCCGGGCTCACAGCTCCTGGGACCTGTTAGCAATGGCTCACCCACTTTGCACAGTGAAGCCATAAATGAAGGTTGTGTGAAAGCAGCACCTTGCCCCATTGCCACTGCAGAACAGACTTCCTGCAATGAGTGCTTACAACCCATTTCAGGAACTAACATTGAACAAGCAAGCCACAACCACTAAAAGGCGAAGGCTGCAACAAATTGATCTTTACAAACTTTACATGGACTCTATATTTGATATACCCTCCCAGTTTGCTGACTTCTCTGTGTATCTTTTGTGCTTTGATATGTATGGCTGACACAAATCATTGCAGAGAGGGTGTGTTTTACCAACCACGTTTTGCAAGGGAAAATTTAAAGAAAAGCACAGTGAGGGTGTCTCTACTGAAACTCCTCTTACTTCATGAATCCTGGCTTTTCCTCTCCTGCATTTCTTTATTGCTTTCTCTGACCCTTGACAGGTTTTGCTTATGATGAAGTATGGAAAGAGCCACATTCCATTTTCGTCATGTTTGCAGAAGGACAGCATTATCCTGCTGAGACTACAATGTGACTTACGATTCACTCATGCAAACATATGCAAAACTAAAAGTTATCATGAAAAACTAGTGGAGTCTTCTATTCACTGTCATTTCTTTCCAATAATTTTACCAAGACCCGTGATCCTTTCCTCTCTTTCTCACAGTTAAACACCTGTATTGTGGTTGCCGTATTATATAATCAGTACTGAGAAGGTTTAATTACTTCTGGTCATTCAGGTTAGTGAAAATAAAGAGGACATCCCAATTATGAGTAAGAGTGTTCTATATTATAATTGTTAACATTTTGTCTGTAATACAAAAATAAAGATCGACAAAAGGGCTGTCAGTGATCTCATTTCATTTCACACAAGGAGCTCCTCTGTTAATTTCTCCTCCATGCTATGTAATTTGATACTGTCATCATCTCCTAACAAGTTAGCAACATTGCCCTCATTAAGGAAAGTGAGGATATCACAAGGGAACTACAGTATTAAATGAACGTGTGTAGCCTCATTTCTTAGAGCATCACATGATGGAAGAGCAAAAACCTACATTTTTGAGGGGACTGTGGAAAACACCTCTGTCAGATGACCTTTCAGGGAAGTACTTGCAATGCAAGTTGTTACTTCCTAATAATCTGCTTATGCTCCAAACATTATTCTTTTGTGCAGATTCTATTCCAAGTGGAAAACTTTCAGACTTGAATATCTTATACTGTGTATGAAAATTGTAAGGAGTCTTAATCAGAACAAACCCATTCAGAAACACAGAAAGATGTTCTCAGTGTATTCCAGACAATTTTTCAAATGTAGTCTGGGCAGCTATTTCAGACAGAAAGGTCAGGCTCTGAATGAAATCAAAGTATCTTGATCTGCCTTTGGCTTCCCTTTAGCCCACAAGCTGTAGGTATGCATGGTCCTGATAAGCTTTATCTCGTTCCCTCCATCTTCTTTTGGCTTTTTCTAGACCTGAGTTCTCTTGACTAGATGGGATGTTCAGTTATATCATATACAAAAAACACAGTGGAGCCCATGCTGTGCTAACAATTTCCTTCCATGTGAATGGCTGGCCAAGGCTGCTTTGTTTTCATTACCACTCAGCTGAGAGGGGACAAATAATAAGAAAAAATTACCAGGGGTTATGACTGGGCATTAGGATTAGCAAACTTGGGTATTCTTAATAAAGATCTTGTCTAAAATTTATTTTATATTTCATGTATCTGCCTTCCAACAAATCTGGATGATCCTTACTGGTATAAAACATAAAGGAATCATTTGATGACAACCTGTCATCACTTGCTTCTGTCTGCCAAATCTCATGGAGTTTGTTTATGTGCATGGAAGGCATTCATAAAACCCGCTCCTTTTCTGCAAGCTGGTAAAAAATATGTGTGCACTACTCAGAAGGCAGTCTGTGGAGAGCAAAAAGAGCAAACGTAATGTCATCCTCACATCTTTTAATTCACCTCAGTACACTGACCCAAGGCACATCCCATCACAGCTGCACTCTGTTGTGTGGGAGTGCCTCAAGTGAAGGCAGTGTAATTTAGGGAGTAAATTAGTTAGGATTGCATAGTACCAACTGCAGTGGAAAATCCCTAAAGGAGGGAGAGCATTTGCAAAAATGTTGGAAATTTACTGTGCTGACAATGACAGCTTTAGCAGTGGGAAAGAGGAAAT